GGCGCGCGGCCGGGGGCGTCGGCGGGGCGCGGAAAGCGGCGCGGGCCGCGGCCGCCGGGCTGCCCCCTCCCGGGCTCCCGGGCGCGACGGGGCCGGGACGGGTCGCCGAGGCGCCGCCGGGATGCTCCGTCGCCCAGGACGGGCCAAGCGCCGCCGCGAGGCGAAGCGCCCGGAGGCCGTTGGGCTCGTCGCGGCCGTTGCGCGGAAGCGGCGCTCGACGGCACCCGCGCCTCCAAGGCAAGCATGAGCTGCGAAAGCCTGGAAGGCGGGCGGCGGGGCGCCCGTGAGGTGCTGCGGCAGCCCCGCGCGCTGGCGGGGCGGGGGGCCTGCCGTGCTGGCCGTGCGCCTTCGCGGAAAGCCTCGGGGGCGGAGGCAGAGAGACGGAGGACTCGGCGCGCGTTTCCTGCGTTTTTCAGTATTTCTTGATCTTAATGTGAGTGCATTTAATCATATTTTCCCCGGTGGTCAGGGGGAGTAGAATTCAGCATCCGGAGTCCGTCTGAGCTAGCTCTGCCCCCCCCCCCGCGCCCCGCCTTGGGAGGTCTTGAACCCCTTCTTTCCTAAGCACAGCGGGGTGGCAGAGAATATTCGCCAGGAAATGACCCTGATGTTTGTTTTGGGCGATATGGGGAGGTATGTTGTTTTTGAACCAGCATGTGATTTAAATTTAGCCAGGGCCATTCTTGGGAAGAAGAATGCACACACTCGTCACTGAGTCATGGGAACTAATTTATTGCCAGTCCATCTGATGCAGCTCTTCTGCACAAGTGAGGCTGCAGTCTCAAATGCGCCTCCTTGGCACGAAGGCAACCCACGGTGCCCACCTCTGAGGAAGCCGTTGAGGCATGTATGGCAAGAGAGTCGCACCTCAGCTTTACACATTTGTTGGCATCCTCTGTTAGGAGCGTCTCCTGTGTCCCGTGCGCAAGCCCTCTTGAGGCCTTCCCGGCTCATCCAGGAACGTCCCCCAGTGGTGCAGGGCAGCCTTTCCACAGCATGGTGGAGCAGCTGGATCTACTTGGGTTAGGCAGGTTATTGCTTTGTGAGGAGATCGACCAAAACAAAACAAGCAGTACAGATAAATAGAGGCACCTTTGCTCAGGCCCCAGCCCATTCGGAATAATAAATAAAAACGCACTGATTTTTTAAACAGACCAAGTGGAAGTTGACACTCAGACAACATTCTGTAAAAAATACTATCCGCATTTTGAGTACAGCATCTCGGTCAGTTGTCAACACGCTCCAGAAGGAGTGGAATCTCTCACAGACATCCTGCTCCTTTCGGCAGCCGTTTCACTGCCCTCTGTGGAAGCTTCTGCAGTCGCGCCACGGCCCTCTCCTTGCACTGCAGCCCGGCATCCTGTGGAAGGTCCAGCTTCCCACCTTGAACATCCGTTTACTTGTTTAAAGAGCAGTTTCTCTTGGCCTCTAAGATTATTTGTATCACATAATCGGGACTATAAAACACCAAAGAAATAGAGTCAAGGGTTCTCAATGCACCTGTATGTCAAACTTCTGAATATACCTACAGGAGAGGAAAGGGCGCACAGCAACGACAAACCGATTGCAAGCGTGTGGGTTTGCCCTACCGTCCAGTCCCAGCCAATCCCTCCTGGGACAGGTCACCAGGCAGGCAGGTGGGACACTGCCAAGGGCGCACTCCACAGGGCCACTGGCTGGGGCTCCCGGGCGGCTGCCCTCTTCCCCACCTCCACCAGCCGGTTCCCCTGCCTCTCACATCGACCCAGACAAAGGGGGCCAGCGGCGAGGGCAGCCAGCGAGGGTGGTGACAAGAGGGGACGCCCGTGGGGGGGCTGGGTCCCATGAAAGCCTCTTGAGTGAGGCACTTCACACCCTGCGCCGGATGGAGGCAAAGGCTCGCTCATGGCGTGTGACTGGTGGTGCAGCTGGGACTGGGCCTCGGGGCCGCCGGCCGGCCAAGCTCAGCAGGCCTCCACGGGACCTGCCCGGTGAGCAGCAGGTGTGACGGGCTGAGGGTGGCGGCGGCGGGGGCGGGCTCCCTTTCAGTGCCGTGGCCGCAATGGGGTCATGGTCTGAGTGAGCGTAAAGGGCAAAGAGGCTCAGAGCGTTGCTCTTTTCTGGCAAGCAGTGTTGGTCTAATGGATCAGAAATGCAGAAGCCGGCGTGGTGCAGTGGCTAAGAGCTGGGACCTGGGCGACCGGTGTTTGAGTGCCCCTTGGCCAGGGAGCCGACCGGGTGACTTCAGCCCAGGCACAGACTCTCAGCCCAGCCTACCTCACAGGGCTGTTGCTGTGAAGACAAGCTTGAAGACAAGGGGGACGTTCTTTAAAGCATCCCGGGGCACAAGAGCCAAGACGCCGTGGCATTGCAGGTGCAAGGTCCTGAGGGGGCCGCAGGGCAGCTGTTGGGGCCACACAATGGCGGGGAGGCCACCAAGAGGGGTACATGCCACTTTGTCATGAAATAGCTTCCTGACAAGCAACCCCCCCCCCGCCCACACGCATAACGTCGCTGGGGACCAGACCATGTCGAGAACGCTCTGCCCCGCACCGCATGTGAAGTCTGACACGCTTCAAGGTCCTTCCCTCAGGATTTGAGAAATATACACAGTGCAAACTCATTATTCAGTGTTACCATCCAACTTAGTCATTTTTAGTGTAATTCAGGGTGTGGGATGATCGGCATGCAGAGGCGCTGCTGGGCGCTAGGCAAAGTAGGCCCAAAGGAAGACGCCTGCGCTCACGCACAGGATCAGGCTGACGTTCAGGACGTGCTTCACCAGCGGGGCTTCGTCGAGAGACGCCACAGCCGCCTTGGTCTCAGCTGCCGCCTCCACGGTGCCGGCGTCTCTGCTGTCCATCCCACAGATCCACAAGAGCAACCTCGTTAGCTCCGAGGTCTTTTTGCGGGGCAAGTTACCTAAAGAAGAGACAGCCAGAGGTGAGGCAGTTATCCGGTTCCCGAGAACACTCTGCCCCGGCTGAGGAGGCCAAGCTTGTCCCCAGCCCTGCTGTCGGGCCCTGCAGCTCCTCAGTCGAATCTGGTGCCTCTCGGGAGTAACAGTTAACGAGAATGTGACCACGTGTGCCAACAAACAGCGATCACATGATGCTCTTCTCTGCCATAATTACGGGCCTCTGTTGAACGCAGAGGTGTCGTCCTGTGAGCCAACCGTGGAGAAAGCACCTCGGTTCACTTACAGGCATCGTGGTCAGGACCATTTTCAGCGCCTTCACTGACATCCATTTGCACGGAGGGAGGTTGGCCAGCCTCATGGGTCCCATTCACAGGACCGGATGGTGGACTGCTCAGCGATGCTGGAGCGCCCTTCTCTGCGGGAGCAGCCTTGCGCGTGAACCATGTGAGGTGGTGGATCTGCTGGGCAAAGGAATCGCATGAACAAAGCGGCTCTCCTGGCCGGCCGCCAAGCCGGGCCTGAAAAGACAGCTCAGCCAGTGTCAAGGATTCCATCCAGTTGTGTGCTGACCCCTGCAGGGGCAGAGCTAGAGGGGGCACCGGGGTGGGCTCCCGTTGCTGCCAGGAGGCCTATGGAAGTGCCTTCAGGGTGAAACTGGGCAGCCTTCTGATTGGGGCGGTGTTAAATCGGTGTCCTGAAACAGCAGGAGGTGGGACCCAGTGGCCTTCATGGCCCCTCCCAGCAACCATTCCACCTCCTTTTCTTTCAAGTGGAATGACTTTGATAGCTCGGTGTGCTGAATGGGCCCTCCAGTTCCGTTTGCAGGTGCATGCATAAAGCCAGGTCAGGGGACTGGTCTGGAGGTGTGCAAATGAGATCACAAATGTCATATGCTCATGTGCCCGTGCATCTGTGTGGTTGGGAGTACATATCAGGCGGGACGGCTGGGCCTGTGGAGGCACACGGGAACATGGATGCTCCTGCTAGAGGGGTCCTAATCGATAGGTGCCACCAGTGTTAACTCTGCAATTTGATGTTCTTCTTGGGCTAAAGGCCTCCTAAGCAGTTTTGCTGCAGGTTTCAGAGCAGGACACCAAGGCAAGTCGGTAGTAAGAGAAGCCATGTGAAATCCCGTACCATTTCTTCAGGTGGACGCTCTGTCCAGAGGCTGACCATCACTGTCAGGACCAGCGTGACCAGTGCCAGGATCATGGAGAAGTAGAGGTAGTGAACGTATTTCACCACGCCTGGCCGGTTGTCTGGCTCGCCACACTGTGGCTGCATGTAAACGAAGTCCAGCACCATACGGAGCAAGCCCAGGACCATCCCGACCAGGAGCCCAGAGAAGGCACCCTGCGAGAAAGGCGTAATCTCACATCACTGCCGCCCGGGGCCCTGAGGGCCACCCATCCTGCCCGCTGCCCTGAGCAGCCTCGCGGCTGCCGCCAAAGAATGTTCGGCACAGAGTTACCTTCTCGTTTGTTCGCCTCCAGAAGCAGCCCAGGATGAAGACGACTGCCACGGGGGGCTGCAGGTAGGAGCTGATGGTCTGGATGTAGATGAAGAGTTGGCCACCCTGGCTTGCTTGTACCAGGGGAATCCATAAAATGGAAACGATGACTAGCAGTAGCACGAACACCCTGTTCCAAGAAGAAAGGCCTGGTTACTCCTGTTGCCTTTTCCACTGATTGATTTTTATGGGCAAGTCAATCCATGTAACATCCAGTCTCGGTAACACAGATCAGTTCTCACGCAGAACTCCCTCAGCAGCCGCTTGCCGCACTCTGGCTGCTGCTGCTGGGTTTGCTTGCCTACCTCCTGCCTGCATTTTCTGAGACTCGCCAGGGACGCACCGTGTGCTGGACGAGACGCACCTGCCCACAATCATGAGCTCCCACTCCGAAGACAGAGGCCGGAAATGGCGCCAGAGGTCCATGGTGAAGATGGTGCTTGCACTGTTGAAGATGGAGGTCAGAGAGGACATCAGGGCGGCGATCATCACGGACATCATGAGCCCTCTCAGGCCTGAGAACCAAAGTGGGGGGGCGAAACGAGCACGCCGTGAGCCCCGGCGTGCCCCAAGCCGGCACCTCCCTCCCTCCTACCACGGGCAGCGCCTGGGACACCGGCACACGGCCAGTGCCAAAATCAGATAGCTCCCAAATTGGTCATAAGCCGTCAGATTCCCCCATAAGGTTCAATGTAAATAAGGTTCATTCGTTCTGTAAATATTGTTTTAATCACAAAAATTTGAGACAACGTGACAAAGAACAGTGCAGGGGAGAACA